GATTCTTGGTACTTTTCACATTGATGTATAATCTCGGGTGCTTTCTTGGTGCCCTTTTTATTTCGACATATATTGCTGAAAAATTTGGACGTCGTGCAATTATATTTACTTCCACGGTTCTTTTTATCATTGGTACATCCATGGTCATATTCCCTCCCGGTGGTTCGAAGCCATTTATGATTTTTATCTTGATTGGACGAATTGTTGAAGGTACAGGTGTTGGATGTTCGTCGTTTTCTTGTCCGTTATATGCTTCCGAGATTGCGCCAACAAATTTGCGCGGAATGCTTTCGGGTTTTATGACCATGGCCATCGTAACTGGATTATTCTCTGCAAATGTTTTTAACTTCTTCTTACAACATCATCGATGGGGTTGGCGTCTATCTAATGGAATTATTCTCGTTGTTCCGTTAGTTCTTCTCGTTGGTATATTCTTTTGTCCTGAAACACCGCGATGGTTGTTCAAGAAAAAAGGCCGACTACAGGCAGAAAAAAGTCTAAAACGTATCCGACGCATATCTAATGTCACAGCTGAATTAGATGCCATTGCCGATGCCATACGCGAAGAAGGAAACGAACTTTCAATCAAAGAATTACTGACAACGAAGAAAATGTTGAAAAGACTCGTTGTTGGAATGGGAATTCACATTTTCTTACAGACGTCAGGGATCAGTCCGATCTTTGCCTTCGGTGGCATGATTTTCGAAAGTGTTCTCGGCTCAGGTATTATCTCCTTATTAATCCTTTCGGGTGCAAATATGTTTAGTACAATACCAGCCTTATTCTTATTTGATAAAATAGGACGACGAAATTTACTCATTTTCTGTGGATTAGGTATGGTGCTGGGTCATTTTATGGCAGCCACTGTATTCCGCACTGGCTGTACTGTTGTCAAAACAATCGTAGATAAGATTGTTGTTCATGAAGATGTTAACTGTGGCTCGTATGCAGGTGTTCTAATGCTTATTGCTACGGTGATCTATATTATTTGTTTTGCGCTTTCTTGGGGAGCGATCTGTTGGATTTATGCCGCAGAAATCTTTCCTCTTAATGTTCGAGCTCGAGCTATGTCATTTACAACGGCAAGTCATTGGTTTATGTGTATAATTATGGCCTACATGTTGGAATTGATAGAACCTATTGGTGTACATGGTGTGTTTTACTTGTTTGGTAGTTTATGCCTTTTAGCTGTTGTTTTTGTGTATCTTCTGTGTCCAGAAACGAAAGGAGTTCTATTGGAAGATATTGAAGAAGTGTTCGACGATTTTAAGATGAAAGATCGAAGAATAGTTAAGAGATTACGATGTCAATAAAATAAACCTATATACTCATAGTAGTCATCATATTATTTGATAAGATAAGTAATTTGACACTTCAACATGTTAGAATGAAAACGATTTTATAAATGGTCAAACATTTCGCTGTCAATTAAATGCCACATATTTATTGTATGTAAAAAAAAGAGACAGTTCAAAGCAGATGTCATTTTATTGAGGATGACGAAGTTTATCACACTTATTTACGTCAGATCATCGAACAACAGGTATATTACAGGAATGTGACATATTAATTATTTCTCTTGAGATATTTACATAGATTCATATTTTTCTGTTATATCAAACATCTTTTTTCTCTTCAGCATACTACGTATTAGATTAAACCGTGTTACTTTTAGGTTGTTGCCCGTAAAACGAAGGACTATGGTTTGAAAATCGAGTTCAGTTATATTCACACAGTGAAGGTTGGAACGTAGACGAAAAGAAAACACTGAATAGAATTTACTCATCGTGTTTAAGTAGGTTAAATGTGTCTCGTGCATATGGCTCAAGCAGTTGGTTGGTGTGATGATCCTGAATTTCGTTGCAATCAATCACGATCTGTTATCGTTATATGGACACAATCCATTACCTTGCTTTGTTGTTCTCTTTGTTCGAAAACAAACTGCTCTTATTGATGCATAATAAAATTCTCATGAATTTGAATCGGTTTACTTGGCGAAAAGCATTCAACTACAGTGTACGAACAGACGGGGGTTTAACTTGTGTTTATTTGTAGTTTTCATCAACTGAACTAGAATGTTCTACTATTAAGATATGGGGGCAATACAAGCTTTCTCTGCCATTTGTTCTGCTATAACCTTAATCCTAAATGGCATAACTTCCGTGTTACTGAGCTGAATGCTTGCTATTGAAAAATACCTCATTAGAAGAAGCATTCAAGAGCATATCTATCATCGACTAATTCACTTAATGAACACGGTGACTTCTTTTCTATATTTTTGTCTCTCTTATATTTTCTTTGGCGCGTGTTAATTTGAAATAGATTAAGAGACTAGAAAGATGCACGTCAGCGATGGTTTCTATGAGAAGGTTGACAATTAGAAAAGCACGCAAAAATAAGAAGAATACAATTCACTATATTTGTTAATAGCTCGTTATCGTCTCGTTCTCGTTGTTAGTACGTAGAAAACAATGATCCAAATATGATTAGGCATCAATTATATTATCGAAAAGTTGTAATCGATTTTTTTATATGTGATATTTCTATGATTACTAGTTCGATTCTCAATCTTCTGTGCGATCATCGTTCATGTTGGCGATGATGAATTTAAAATGCTTGACTGTAGTTCTTTTTCTTCTCTTAACTATCAAATTCTTCAATATACTTCTCTTTGACAGTTGTCCATTAACAATCGAACAACAACCGCATCATTTTTCCTCTCTTCGATCATCAACGCGTTGGATCAAGATGAGTACATTATACGATCAAGTTTTAAAATCAAATATTTACATTCAACCTGTACTACTCACATTGGTTGTGGTTACAAATAGTTTCAGCATTCGCATTCTTTCCTCCAATGCTCTTCGTAGTTCACCTTGCTCGCATTATTTTATTACCTACTCAGTTCTGAGTATAATTTACAGTTGTCTGGTATGTCCGACACAAGTTATACGTGCTTTGTGGATCGGATGGGAGAATACACCAATAGGATGTAATATATACTATTATATCATATTCTCGCCGCCGATACTTGCTCGGATTATGCTCGTTCTAGCTTCATTTGATCGGTATTGTTCTAGTTCGAAGTCGCGCTCATTCAATTCAGCAAGCACGAAACGAATAGCCCGTCTGACAGTTATTATCAGTATAGTATTAGGTACGATATACATGATACCAATGTTTGTCATTTACTATTTTGATCCAACAGTTGGCCTATGCCGCTTATACACTACTCTACCAGCCAATCTTTATACATTTTCTCAAGTCATAGGTTATTACATGCTGGGACCATTATTAATACTAATTTTTGGTACTCTGACCATTTTCAATATTCGTAAGCATTCTATCCGTACAGGAATACAAAACGGTCCAACGACGTCCACTCGTCGAACAGAAGGACAATTGGCACGTATGCTAATTCTTCAAATATTTGTTCATATAATTCTAACCACTCCATTCGGGGTGATCTACTGTTTAAATGTGTTAATTGCAGCGACGCGTACGCCGACCACAATCGCTATACGGTATATTTTTTTGATATGGATGCAGTGCGATTATTTCATGTCGTTTTTTCTTCATATTTTGTCTGGAAAGGTTTACCGTGAGCAATTTTGTCGATTATTCAAACCTCTCAGGAAACATCCGCATCCAGACCAAACTATTATTATTTGACCGAAAAAGAATCGTGGTTACAAACATGAGAATGACGCTTTGTTACATTTGAAAATACTGTCAATGCGAATCGAAATAAAGTCGATCTCGAACGAATGAAGTTGTAATAATCCGCAACGTACAATTCATGTAACCGGAATATATCCTTGTCTAAGATGGCTTCATTAGGATATATGAAGTCGTGAAGAATGATTTAAATAAACGAATGATTTTTTATGCAAAAGTAGTGTAACTTCTATCTGGAGAGGAAGAAGAGCAAAAAGATTCGTGACTGTTCTCAATATAAAGGTGCTTTTAGAATGCCCAAAGAGAATCAAGAATGAGGATCGCTTTCTTCCTACTTCATTGATTAAAACAAAAGTGTATCACAAAAGCAAAATTTAACAAATTGTGTAACTGATGGGTGAGTATATTTCATAAACGTCAGAATTTTTCTTGTTGATGGCTAGGACAAAAATTTATTTCGTATTGCTCTTCGTATATATTATGCAATCGAGCTCACAGAACACACGATTATTTCGAATGTCCGTTAGAAACGGATGGCAATTTCAATGTGCGAATACAACTTGTTTACCGTCCAACACCTTTCTCACATTAAATATCCGTCAATGTCAAACAAGCTGCTTATCCGAAATCTATTGTAAAGCCATCAGTTTTCATCGACTAGCCACTCGTTGTAATCTATTCGATTACGTACCTGATCCAAATGGAAACATGGTTGTTGATACAGATTCGATGACAATGATCGTTATTACTGAGACGAGAATACCACGAGGTCAGTATGAATAAAATCAGTCTCTTTTTGTTCGTGAGATTTTCTAAGACAGTTGGGCTTTGCCTTTCGTACATAGAACCCACGACAACTTCAACAACTACA